ATAAGGTATACATATATATGTATAATATAGAGTAATAGTTCCTTGCAAAAAACATTATCCCAAAGATGCGCCAAACGAAATGTTTGTGCATTGAGGTATGCCGAAGAGCAAGTAATCATAAAGAAAATAGATAAAATAAACAATGAGTAGGAACATATCAGTTCCATGCTATAGCATTATTTAATGGGTACATTAAAAGCTATTCCCAAATTGTGCACAAAAAGGTAAGGGAAGACAGAGTATATCTGCATTTTGAAATTAGGACTTACTGTTTTTGTCCCTCAAATACCTGTTTCCAGGCTTCGGGTTGCATTAGGATTTCATCTAGTTTATCATTTGCTAACTGGACCTCCAAATTGATCCACCTCGCAAGGATGAACTCGACGGACAAAAGGTCAGTTGGACGTGGCTCAGATTTTGGATAGAAAAGTTTATGGGTCAAAATGTCTTCGAGTCGGAGAATTTCATCTATCAAATGGAAGAACCATTCAGGATTTGAAAAAAGCAAGGGGTTGGCTAATAAGCGATCACTTTTTGGAGATTCTTGCAGATGATCAGGATAGAACTTAGAGAATCGTGGTAAAGGCAGAGGTCGAAGACCAAGCTCGTAAGCAATTTTATCAATTATTAACGTAACAAGGCCTCTCATGAATTCAACCTAAAATTTAAAACAGTTGATTATATGTAGACAAGAGCCTTTTATAAATAAGAAAGCATACTCGTAAAACATCGGTTTTCTTACTGCTGTCCTTAAACAAATAATCTTCCTGTATACACGAAAGATAAAAATCATTTTCCTTGATCCACGAGACAACTTGAGTAATGTACCACTCTGGCTGAAAAGCAAGATATGTAGACACTCAGAAGAATACCTTATCTAATCTGTTGGTTTTTTTATCTCCATAATAGTGGTAAAAGAATCGTTTTTCCAGAGGCTCAATAATTATTTGCATAGCAAGTGACAAGTCACTCTTAGTGGCTCTAGTGTCGCATGAGAGATCTCTGCATAGGGATATTGGCAAATCATACATTTTACGGGATTCTTAATTCGAGAAGTTTCTCCAGAAAGCGAACGAAGTCCAATACCTGTTGCTTGTCCAAAAAATGGTACGTAAGAGGCATAGAATCATAAGTAGATTTAGTGCTGGGAAAGTCAAGTTGTTTCAAAATTTTCTTAAAGGCACTAAAATATTAAAGTATCTGAGAAAATACCTAAAAATATGGAAAAATGTCTGGGTATATATTTTTTGTGCAAGCAAAAGTGAGACATATTCATCCCTGTTTGCAGGATCATTGGACAAAACATCACATGTAAAAGAACAAAGGTCAGCAAATGAATCAATTAATAGGTCCATATCGTCGAGGGCATGAGCGGCAAGAAGGTCAGAACTTAAAATAAAAAGAACGAATTGGGCATACTTAAAGTATTTTAAATCCCAAGAGTAGTCTGAAAGTCTAATTTTTGATTGAATAATCTCTGCCTCGATCACAGAAGGCTCGATAATTTTGTATAGAAAAGTTGC